AATGCAAACTGAAAATGCTCAGTAACCTCAGGCCACCACCCTAATGATTCATTTTAATGCCTTTGTAGTTCTGCAATAATGGTCTTTGTGTGTATGTGCTTTTTGTTTTATGTGTGATACCATTTTGCCACTGGGATAGTCTGAAAATGGCTTCAGGCTGCATGATCTTGAGTGTATATCTGGATATAGGTGTGCTTTCTTCTCACAGTTTAGGAGTTTCACTCTAGTCAGCATATCTACGCGTGTGCAGAATGTAACAGCTGTAAGATCAAGGCCTTTATTTTTAATTTTCTCATTAATTAGTTTCCCTGGTATCATAGAAGGACCTTCATATCATTAGTATGATTACCATGGCAATATTTTTGTGCTGTAAAAAAGATAATTCAAAACTGGCATCCTTTATCTGCCAGATCTTGGTTTGTATTTGTATTTGCATAGAAACGTGGCTCAGCTTGAAGGGACATTCACAGGCCAGACCGCAGGATTGATGCTCAGCCACCTGGAGGACCAGAGGATGCACTCAGACTCACATGGCAAGAACAGGGCTGTAACAGAGTCAAACCTGGTGCTCGGGGGTGTGGTACATACATAGACAGGGGAGAGTGGCAAACCAGATGTGAGCTTGAGGTGTTGGCTCTCTGTCTCTTTTATTTCTACTCCACAAAGAAGAAGGTTGTTTGAAAGAACCTTACTCTGAGTGTTGTCACGCTGTTGATATAAGTACAACTTTCTCAGCAGTGAAGACAATTTTACTATTAATAGCATCTATACTGGAGGGGTAGAAGTAGACTGGTTTGTACTGGTTATGCAGAACTTATTCCTTTAAGTAAAACTACTTACCTGCAATTCTGTTTTCTTCTGGAAAGTGTCTTTTTTTGCACCAGTGTTTGAGATGCTGACTTTAATCTCAGCTTCCAGTATGTCACTGCTTATGGAGAAAGGTATTGCTGAAAAGGAGTAGGTGTATAAGCAAACCTGGCACTTACTCAGCTCTGGAAAGGCAAGAGCCAAGAGGCCAGCAGGCTATTAATATTTTTGACTTGCCATGTTAGTTGCAAGAACAGGGAGAGGTGTAAAAAGCCTCATGTCTCCAGGCTTTCACAGGGAAAATGGGAAGAATACTAAAGCCTGCTCTGGTGCTGCTGCTGAGAGTTTGTCCTCTGGACTTTCATAGGGATCTTGTCCTCTCCAATTTGACTACAGGCTTGTTATTTATCATTTTATCTGCTTTGTTTGGGGCTGCTACTGCAGCTGGCATACCCCTGTGCATGCTAAATACCTCTCCTTAACATAAAGCGGGCAGGCACTCATAGAGTATCCGGTTTCCTAGTTTAGTTAGAAGCGCGGCTTGCTCTGCCAATTTGCTGAGTGTGCTGATTGATCACTGCTTAGCCTGTATGTATCATCTGGGAGGCAAATTTTCTTTCTGATCTCAAAAGAAAAAGGCCAAGAGGACAGAGCAAGCACCTATAAGGCAGAAGTTAACTTGGCAAGGGAAAGAAAAATATATGGCCAGAAGTAGGTATTTTAGTGTCTGATGTGCTTATTTTGTTCGTATGGTGCTACTGTAATTCTAAAACTCCTGTTTCTTTAACTCACTGCCATGCCAGGGAAAAGAAACAGATGTTCCCATTCGTCTTTTGATGTGGCTCAAAATCATTTACATTTGCTGGCCTGAGATGACATGACATACCGTTTGCCACTTTTTCTGTCTCCTTTGGAGTGAATGACAGATTGCTGTTCAATTACTAGTATAATAGAAGCGCAGATACTGTGAGGATGGCTTTCACCTAAAGGAAATGCAATCGCCAATTGCTGCAGTACTGGAAAGAGAAGGATGGCAAATACTGTAGAAGCCATCCACTGGAAAAGACATTTTTATTATAAATAATGTCATGGGAAAGACTCAAGGGAAATGCACTGGGTCTGGCTTTTCTGCCTGGAGAAAGGGAGAGCTGGGGTGAATAAAAATATGGTGAAAAATTGGCTTGCTACTTCTGTAAAATATGTTTCCAGCTCTTTGCCGTGAGCATGTGCTGCTTAAAGCCTTTCCATTTGCTCTGCACCCAGCTCCAATGGAGAGCAATAATTACAGACAGACTCTTCATCAGTAAAAGACACTCAGTGAGAGGCTCATTAGAAGGGTTTTAAAAACTGGAAAAAAACTGTTTGTCAGAGGCTTTGGGATTAGTCACGTCCCCACCCTATAGTTTGCTTTCTTATCGGTGTATTCATACTCCGCTTCCTCCCTTTCTCCTGAGATGAAGAGATTCTCCAGGCCAAGCAGAGCTTAACCCTTCCTTCTGCTGGCCATTCACTAGAGGATCACCTGTCCACTCTTAATGTTTTAGCATTTCCTTCTCTCTAATTCTGTTGGAGTGCCTTGAGAGGCACAACGTGTACTTTCAATATGCTGCTCAAGATTAATTTTCATGTCACAATCCAGTCAGTCTGCTGGACTGGGTCGGAGTACAAGAGGTGAAGCTTCTGCTCAAAGTCTTTTACATTTCTCTTTCTAATGGAATGAAATGAAGTGTTAGATGGAAAACATGTTGAGAATCCAATGTATTGCTGTAATTATCCTTCTATTTTATCAGTTTTAAAGAGTGAATCTCCGCGAGATAATAGACTTTGGGTTGACAAAGCGTACTGGTGAATATGTGCTTTATCTGATAATTGATGAATCAGATGATAGTTTTTCTTTGCATAAGTGTCTTCAACAAGAGATGTCATCCCTTAACAATAAACATGAATGAACCTTTGAAATACCTGGTTTTAGCCAAATAACTCATGGTTATAGTCATCCTTGTTGTAATGAATGTAGAAACAAGGATCATCTGGAAACGTAGCTTTATGTTGTGAATGCAGCAAGGTGATTGCTGAAATGATTTTCACTGATTTTCAGGTAGTTACCATTTATCCCTGACCTGCTTTATCTGAATGTAAAATCTGTGCAGAGCGGAACGTGTTGCACTTGGCCATAATTAAATCCTTTTGGCTTTGGCACCCCTTGTTGCGCAGTGGTGCAGTATTCTCTTTGGATCTGACCTGATGGCGAAGATTTTTCAAGTGTCACTGTGCTGTTGTGTTATGGGAGTGCTTCGAACGTACTGTTCCTTCCTGCGGCTCCTGGGCTAGGTGACTTTATCCCTTTGAAACACACATCCTGGTGATGCAAAGGCTATTTTTCCTTATTTGTTAATGGCTTGCTGCAAAGCTTGCGAAGTCTCAAGCCTGTGTTTTAAAAGAAGAGGGGAGGGGGAGAGTAAAGTTTATCTTCTAGCACAGCTAACTTAGTTTTGTGTGCTGTCCTCCTGTCATGTGTGGACAGGCGGAATGCTGAGTTTGAAAATAATGCTTTTGGATTTCAAGCAGGGGAAGGAAAAACCCATCTGGTTCTATCAAGCCGTTTTGGTCATCCATGTAATGCAATTTTTTACAGGTTAGAGCTCACTAATGTGAGAAGAAATCACTACAGCGGGGCATTAAGGCTGGTTAAAGTCGGTACAAAGAGTTACCAACAGGCAGGAGGCCCGAGTCCCCGCTGATGGCTGTCAGCCGCCCCCTGCTCACCTCTCAGGTGGGGTGTCAAGCTCCGGTTCTATCTCCTCTCCTCCTGCGAGCAGCTCCGTGCAGGGTCAGCCTGGAAATACTTCTCCACTAGTCCCATCTGCTGGATGCCAGGATGTATTGCCTGCTGGAAAGGGAGAGCATCATACCTCAGCCTCTAAGTAGGAGCTGAATGCGGCGTGCCACCAGACGTATATTTGCTTCTGAAAAACACATGCTTTCTCAGTTTTTCTTCCATCCCCATAATTGCATTTGGGCTACTGCTGTTCTCCTCAACAGACTCCGTGTTTTAAGTAAAAGCAAAATGGTGACACAAGGAACTTTAACCATGTTGCTTTAGAGAAGCTGTAATCAGAAAAACCCAGGAGCCAGAAAAGATCACAGAAAAAATATGTGTATCATTACCAAGCCATTTACAGGCCTGGGAATGAATTTCCTTTCTCCCTGTATATATTCTCAGCAGTCAGTTTTTCAAATGCCTCATTAAGGCTGGTACTCAGCTGTTCTCGCCATCTACTTTGCCATGCTGGAGAAGAGGGAGTGTAACCACCGCATATGATCCAGCATGCTGCACTGCAGCCTCTAATATGATTATGAAGCTATAAGAGCCTTCTCCATCATTGAAAATAAAGACTTCCCAATACGTTTCTAATCAGGCCAAGCAAAGGTTAAGAGAGCTTGATCTCATGTCCATAGATGTTCCCTGGGGTGTTAGTTTTCTCAGTGGCAATTCAATGTTCAGTACCCGCCTTCCAAAAGGGAGCTGGATGGAAAAAGATGGGTAATGAATGTGAATGCAAAGTAGTGGATAAAATTGGGAATGACTGTGAAGGGGGAGAATGCATTCAGTGCTAGCAGTCTTACTTTGGTTTATTTTGCTCTGTTCTTTGCAGTCGTTTGTGATGTATTTTTATACTTTATGCTAAGTGGCATTGTGCCTTTTGCTTGAAAATTAAACTCAGGTGATTCTTTCCCTCTGATTCTTACCTTCCATTGGCATTGAAGTAGGTTCCATGAGTCAGAAGCAGTCACTTCAAGGATTTAGTGGAAGTGTTTCTGGAGGAAAAGAATCCTAGAAAATAATCTGTATAAAATGCATAGACTAAGATAAAGCAACAATTTCATCTGTTGCAGACAGTGTTTAGGGAAACATACCTTTATTTGGCATACAGATATTTCCAGTGTATTAAATGAAATAAAATCTTTAATCTAACCCCCCTTCCTCAGCTTGAGATGTGAAGATGTGACTGGTTTAAATGTGACTGGTTATGTTTGCAGGTTTTTTCACTTTACCTTTATATCTCTCCTCTTTTATCATGGCACCTTACTATAAATTAGCAGTTTATGCTGAATTGGTTACAATTAATATTGCTGCTGCTGTGGCCAATAAAAAGATATCGTAAATATTTTTTATGTATTTTCCCCTGTAGGTGATAACAGCACAGAGGAGAAGCAAAACACCGAGGAAATGGAGGCCCAGAGTGGAAAAGCAGGTTTGTGCCGAGTTTCTTAAAGGACTTTCTTAGTTTTTATCCACCTTGGTGAACAATAACCCTAGTCAATGCCATTGAAGGAGAATGTTTGTACATTTTCACCAGATTAGCTCAGGTCTTGAGCAATTCTCCCAGTAGAGACCAAACTCCATTCATTATGAATGAATGTATTGCAGTGCAGGAATGCAGACTTCCCTCTTCAGTTTACCAGCTCTACATTCCCCCTTTAAGGTGGACTTACCTCTAGCTAATCCTCTAACTAGAAAGAAATCATTTTCCCTCTGTCTACAAGAGAGTAGCCCTTTGCAGAGGATAGAAATGAGAGAAAAGGAAATTTTGAGGAGGAGGAAGCAGGCTTTGGGTGAAAACTGCCCTTCTGGAGATTTTACAGGGTATTTTCAAGTTTTAATAAATTGTCTGCACAAATCTCGGGGGTTATGAAGATTTAAATCTATACAGAAAGATATTTCATATACAGCGAAGGAATGTCAGAGTTCACGAGCAGTGGGTTTTGCAGGTGGCATGCATATAGATTATAGTCAGTTCAGTGTTTTAAAATACAGTGTCACTCTGTATTCACAATAGGTTTTCTATTCTTTATTTTTCTGTTTATGCTTGTGGTTTTCATCCTACCCAACTCTGTTCAATGCAAAAGACAACTGGAATGAATCAGTTATCAAAAGAGCTGGTGCGACAATCAAAATGTCTAAATCCTCTTATTTCTTAAGGATTTCTTTTAGTGTAGTATTACATGTAATACAATGCTTTTCTTGTTTGTTTGGGGGTTTTCCCATTGTAGTGCAGGATGTTGCCTACACATACTTAATCCAGAGAGTATCAAACTCTTTTAGTCAGAACTTTTATTACATTGGGTTTTTAATCAGAATTGAAGATTGGTTTTGGTCTGTGGAAGATTGAGCTGAAGAAGGCCAGCCAGTAAATGCATCAGAAAAATTTAGAAGGCCTATATTCTTGACTTGTCTGGTTTGCTTACTGCATTGTGGCTGTTTCCAGAGGAGGAATTCCTTTGATGAGGGTCCTATTTGTCCCATACATGAGGCACTGTGTTTGTGGGAGTGCAGCATTTCTCCCTGCACTCCACAGGTCAGTCTTCTTCAGCTATGTGTGAACAGATGATGCTGTCCACAAGTGCTTGAAGTCCTTCATGTCCTCTTTATCACCTCTTCTTTATGTCCTCACACAGGGCAGGCAGTGGGAGCTGAAGCCATAGGCACATAGTAATACAGAACAAAAAAGATTCCCATGGGCCTCAGGAAACTTTGCACCTAAGCATCCTTCCCAAGATAAGCATGCAGTGGTATTTTCGCAGTGCTGGAGGACAACCATATTTCCTATGTTTTTCACTTTTATGCTACTTATATTTAAACAGGCAGGGAGGACCAGGGAAAAGGGAGGAATGAGTTGCTCTGGCTGAATCTAAGCTCTGCTTTGAATCTCTGACTAGGCAGGGACATATCTTCGCCCAAGCAATACTGAGCTTTTAACCATACCAAGTACTCTTGCCTGCTAGCTCACCTGATTGCTAGTACTTCCAGGAGCTCCTAGCTCTGAGTGCAGAGGTTCCTTTTTAACCCAGTTTTACTAGTGATGCCAAATACAGCCCATTGTGCATATCAGCTACATTCAGTTGGAAGGGATATGTATTTCCCTGGTATTTTGATCTGCAAAGCAGTTTGACTGAATGAGATATATTTCATTTTCCCCAAGAGAATCAAGGAATATATACCTCTCTAAATTACTGCTTTGCTACTGGAGGTGTTAAATGCATTGTTTTTCCCCGAGCCATCATTATGACTTGTTACGTTACAAACTGTCAGAGCGGGTTTATCAGAGCCATGATGTACATTCTTTTGCTATCTCATACTGGTAGTCGTGTTTTGTTGCCCTCATGAAGAGTGTTAAAGAAAAGATCCAGACATTTTAGATTGCAGCTCCAGAAAATGTCATACATTAGGAACGTGCTTTAGGTACATGCCTTAAGATAGCGTTGTGCCTGCGCATAGTCCATGCATCACCTCCTTGGCCGCAGGCACACAGTGTTACAGGGAAAAATTATGTGGCTTAAAGTTTATCCCTAAAGGTTCACACAGTGACAAGAACAGGGAGCTATACAATTACATTGAGTTAGTTACATTCAGCTAATGAGTTGCTGCTGCTATCTACTCTATGCATTGTGCAGACAAAACGTCATCAGGAACTTTTAGATTGCTGCTTCGGCACCCTTTCTTGGCAGTAGGAAATGACCTGATTTTCTAAGATACGCAGTTTTATGCCTAAAGCATTTCTAATCACTGTGAATGATCACTGTAAGGAGCAATCCTATCAAATGTTAAACTTCTTGTTTGTATTTTCTGAACCAGAAAAGCATAACCTTCATCCAAGTGTGACAAATGACAAATCGTATTCTTCTGTATTATGAGAAAATGTAGGAATAAAAATAGACCCTGTGTTCCTACCCAGTCCATTACATAAACATTTATATATTCTTATTGTGCAGTAGGAAAAAGGCAGTTATAGTGCGCAAAGACTGAAATTTTTCAGCTATTACTGTGTGTGTTTTTTTAAAGAGGGCCTCCCGTCTATCATCAGTGAACCTCACAGTTAGCACATGGAAAACCAAAATGGCAGGTGGTTCAGAGCTCTTATTTCAAGCTAGTTAAAAATGCTCCTCTATATGAGGACAAAAATTCCTTCAGAATCATCAGAGGCAAGGCTTTTGAAAGGAATTAATACAAGGGCTTATAAAGGGTTTAGAACTATAAAAATTGGCAAGGAAAAGCAATGGTGGAAGTTAAACTGTTCTATTAAATTCAGGTCCTAATTTTATCTGTTAACTATGGTAGTTTTACCCAGGTTCTACCATTACAAAACTCCAGTCTGCAGATTTTCAGGGACTTCCTAAATTTCAGGCCTGATTGATGAAAGCTTCTATTTTCAGAAAAGCATTTGCATGTAATCATTTTGATTCCAGTGGGATTCAGGGACATGATTAAAGTTAAGAATGGCTTAATTGGGGTTTTTTTTTCTCAAAATAAATGGATTAAATGAAAAAAAGGAATCTCAAAGCAAATAGCAACACCAGGCTACTTATGAAAGTGATAGCTGTTCCTCTCTCTGTATTATGGGAAACTGAAATATAGATTTGATCTGGCAGTGTTGAAATGTAAGTTTACCCCTGGCTTAGGGAAGACAATCAGACCAGTAATGGCCAGTGAATGCAATGTGAATGGATAGAAGCCCAGCAAATCAAATTCAGGTTTTGTATCTTGCCTCAGTAAGGCTTAATACCTTTTTTCAGTAAAATGGTTCATCAGTTTGCTATCTAATGAATAACTTCTCTTTCATTTCCTTTGGTTCTTACAGAGGAGACGAAACCTTCAGCTGTAGCCAGCCTATCATCATCAGAAGAAATAGAGCTGAGTGAGGATAAAGGTACAGATTGCAAATTGTATTTCAAAATAACCAGTCCCAAGAGGACATTTCATAAAGCTTTATTTTTCCTTTGTCTGGAAATTGCCAGAATCACAGTTAAAAAATACAGAAATAGGTAAATGCTTGGGTTTTCATTTGCAAAAGCCTTTCTAATGAAGTACTTGGCACCAGCTGTTGTGCTGGTAGGAGAGATGCTGCGAATTCCTAAGTCCCCTTGTTATAGAGGTAATACTAAAATATCACACATGACATATCAGAAATGAGCCTAAAGCTTGGGCTCGCTGGGGCAGAAAGTAGCTCCCTATTCAGTGCTCTCCTGATGGGGGAAAAGGAAAACACAATAGCTATAAACACATCAAGAAGAGACAGGAGGAGATGAAGTCATAATTGAGAGGGAGAAAGTAATGTTTATCTTGTGCAGACTGTGCTGGGCACTCAGATCATTTAGTTTGTGATAAATATTTTAAAGTGTCATGAGGCCAAATGACAGGGAGTTTAGAAAACAAGAGAGATGATCTAATTTAAATGTTTCAAGCTGAGTTTTTTCCTGTGGAGTTGTTGGTTTACAGATAGGATCCAGTGCACAGATGTACTGGTTTTGATACTCCTATGATAACCACACTATTAGTTGCTTGTGCCAGTCTGCAGGTTCTGCCATTTTTGTGGGGATACGTCAGGAAAAAGCCTGGGTGATTTATAAGTTGTCCGCTACTGGTAATTCAAAACAGGAGTTATGCTATCTATAACGAAGACACTCCATCAGTACAGCCTTCAAGAAAGACTAATAGAAAATTTTAATGCTTTTTACTGAGATAACATAATTATTAACATCCATTAACTTATTTATTTTAAAAGATTTAACGTTTAATTCAGCATCACTGCTTGACTCTCTTCTCATTTTTCTAGATAAGTGTGACGGGGTGTGAGATCTTGCCCTTTTGTTCCAAAGACACACGCTAGAGAGCCCACATACTTACCTGATTATGAGTTCAAAGCCTTGTGCAGGTTGATTTAAGTGCTCTCTTAACTGATTGATTTATCCTGCAGGGGAAAAAAGTCCACAAACCCTTGCAAAAGCACTGGCTTTTGCTTTTGATATCTTCACAGATTAAAGTCACGGCAAGGCTAGTGGAATACAGAAGTAGGGATAGTTTCAGCCCCAGCGCAGTTTGTGATTTCCTGCCATTCATTTATCTTTTTTCACTGACATTTGGCCTCTTTATATATTCTGTATCTGTAAGTTCCCTCATCAGGTGTGTTTGTCCTTTTTTATAATGTGAGGGTTAGTATTTTATCATTTTTTGCTGTCTGCAGTCTTACTGGAGATCCCACCATTTTGGTATTGCTTTGAGTGCTTGTTCCTGACTATGAAGCCAGTGTCTTTTGATAAGCTTTTCAGTGACCATTTCAATATGCAGTACTCTGGGGTTTTGACCTATTGTATTAGTTGTCTCATCTCAGGAAAATAGCCATCTTGCTCTAGGTCTCACTTTTCCTATAATATGCTATGAGTTTAGTGTTTTCGCCTCTGGTGATAGCATCCTGAGAAAACCAAAGAGCAGTTTCTCTTTGATGTCCTACCTCTCTTCAAAATTAAGACATAAAACATCTGGTAGGGAGAAAGGAGTGAGATTTACTCTCTTCCATATATTTTGTTTGTGAAGTTGTACAAGTAGAAAGAAGGAATGTTGAGGAAAAGAGCGTGTTTTGGGATTCACTTGCTAGTTTTCTAAATGTAACCAAGAATTTTGAGTGACGAGGCTGCTGCATCCACCAGACCATGGTTCTAATCTTGATTTCCATTAGTAGATCTTCACCTTTTCAGATTTTAGGTTCTGAGTTGTTTTAAAAGGAGCACTGGTGTTACAAAAAAACTTGTTCCCACTTAGGAAATGGCACTTTTACAAAATCCTGGCATTTCTGAAAACACCTGCTGCTCCCAAAATATATTTCAGCCTTCAAATTGTTTGCCCACTGAGTTAACACAGCTAAAACCTGCCAGGTTCTGGAACACACTCATTTCTGTAGTTTATCTTCAACTAAATGAACGGGATGTAAAGCATTTAAAGAAATTATGATTTTTTCAGTCCTTTCATCTAATAGTCCTGAAAGGAGATTTATGGCAAATAAGTCTAGGCTTCATATTCCCAAAATGCATAGTTTAAACCACTCAGATTAGGAGGTTTCCAAGCCTACTGTGGAAGTCCAACAGTCTTTCAAATGTCAGTTCTGATGAGTGAACCAAAACAAGCATTTTGACTCCAATTAGGGTTGACTAGTAGGTTTTCTGCTTATTTTTTTCTCATATTTCCTGGATTAGAATATAGCAATGGCATTGAAGTAGTTATTTATTGCTCTAAAATGTGGTGATACTCAGAACAGACCACAGGCATCTCTGCTACCATGAAGTTGTAGTATTTTTATATTACCTGAGTCGTGTTGATCAGGTTTTTGTAAAGGAAGAGGGCAAAGATGAGAACATGAAAGGGGATGTATGTGATAAGTGCATGGAACAGTGCAGGCATTATGTTTTGAGGGGCTCTGTTTAGAATGAAAACCTACTGTGAGATTACAACTCTCATATTAATGTGAAAGTGGACCTTTTCTGTTATTCACAATAGAAGAGATGCTGTTTATATAAAAGCATCCTTATGGACTCAGTGTGCAAGTGGCCTTTGAGCAGACTTGTCTTTTTTAGTGCTCTGTCCTCAGGAAGAAAAAGGGGAAGCAGAGCAGTCGTATTGAAGAATACCAAGACGTTTGCTGTTATGCTGTGGAGATATCCTGTTATTCCAGTCTGTGCCAAGTTTCTCTTTCCACTGTCTGGAAATACTGCAAAGATATGTTCCAATTTTACCCTTGAAAACTTGCATGCATAACTATTAGCTCTTAGGGGGAGAGTTGACATCTCCAGGCAGCACCTTCGCAGCGCTTCATTACTGTGCATATGGAAGTAGATCCTTTCTACACAGCGTATTTCAAGTTAGAGATGCTTCTCTTTATGAAGTGTAAGGGCAGAGCAAAGTGATTAAAGTCATTAAAGTTTATGCAGCAGATAAAACACGTATCAGACAGCCTGCACTCAGTCTAGTAAGCCTGTCCATACAAGATTGTGCCGGGACTACAAACCCATTTTAAATGGACCCTATTGTATATCACTGTGGATTGGTTTGAACCTGTGGTTATGTTTAGTTCTTAACAAACAAGTTTGTGTGTGTGAGAGAGAATATTCTGCATCTTCACCTCAGTTACGTGTCGTACCAATTACTGTTTAACCTGATTTAATGGTAGGGCTTTCAGATGGAAAGATGAAAAAGGGAACTGAATTTACTACAGGTGAAGAATGAGCTCCCCTTATGCAATCATAGGCAAAGTCTCTCTGCACAATGCACTGATTTTAATTCATTAGCACTTAATAAGAACTGAATTTTCATTTGAAGGTCAACTAAATTAAATCATATGCTAATTAATTTTAAAAATAAAGTAGCGATTAATTATTTCCAGGTGTTCACCAAAGTCTGGGCTCCTGTGGGAGTCCCATTTAAAGCAAGTCACTATTCCTCTACACCCTCTGAAATAGAATCAGATGCAGTCAGCTGGAGGGCTTCTGTTGTCAGAAATAGAATTAGGTATATGCCTCGGCTAGGGTTAGCCCTAAAAACGCATTCTGTGCAACCCAGAAGCCGGGAAGTATCCTGCCTGTAAAGCATCATGGATATGACCTTCCCATTTAGCCAGCTGCAGTTCTAACCATGTAAAAATCTTGATGTCCTAAAATGATGGAGAAGGGATAAGCTGGAAGATAGAGCATTTCCAACACAGGGGAGCCATGCAAATCGACATAGATTAGACATTGATAAGTGGGTGAAAAAGATTGACTGAAAGGCCAATATGTTCAAAAAGAGGTGTTTAAAATCAGCTCTTAAGTATATATTAAGACATCTAAATGAATGACCTGATTTTCAGAAGTGCTCAGCGCTCAGCAGCTACCAATGAAATGTTTTCACTTCACCCTTGGGCTATGATTAGACCTGGAAAATTTCAGCCTGAAAAATTTCAATTATAGGTAACTGAAAAAGAACCTTTTTAATGGAAGAATTTCAACACCCCCAACCATAGCTGTGGCTCAGTGTGCCAGCTACAGTGGTAGCATTTTTCTCTCCCTTGGTGAGAAGGATTTATATGGAAGCAAATTGGCTAACACGGACTAAATGGTGTGATTTGGTTCTTTTTTAAACCAGGTACATAACTATCACCTTCCATCCAAGTGCCTGTTCTAACACCCTCCATAATGGTCCCGACGAGCTCACATAATGCAGGTTATTTACTTTTCCTTTTAAACTGACCTATCTGTAGCCCGTAAACTACTCAAGAGGTATTTTTCGGCTCTGCCCCTTGCCAGTACAGGCAGCTGCAACAGCTAACACTAATCTCCTGAGCTGGTTTAGATACTACTTGTTTTTAAACATTAGCTGACCTGGAGCCATCCAGCTGTGCTCCCGTCTGTCTGATGCGAGTGCCTGCTCCTTCCGTCTCCCTGCTTCAACCCTTACCTTCAGCTGTGCAGCATCTTCTCCTGGGAAGGGTCTGACTAAAGCAGACAGGGGGTTGCTTCAGCTTTTTTCTATCCCAAAGCCCTGCACAACAGGTCCTGCCCCTTATGGCAGCAGCAGGATGCCCACAGATATTGTACCAGCTGTGCCTGAAATTCCTCCTGTGGACAGAAGGTGAGGTTAGAGGAGATGCTCTTCTGTCAGCTCAAAGCACAGGTGGGTGAGAGCATTACTTGGTGGACCCCACCTGTGGGGATGAACTGGTCTATTAGCTGAACACTTGCAAAAATCTCTCTACAGGTTGTTACACCTAAAAAGGTCTGATCTACCAAGGCATATAAACTTTGGCTCCCATAAATCTAATCTGTCATAAAGGCAGATTAAAATGAAATCTCGGTGGATATAAAAATAACATTTAAAAGTCAAAGCTCAAGAATATCTCCCTAACTTCTCATAAATCACCATTTTATAGGACTTCATTTTAACACATTTTCCTCAGTTTATGAGGCAAAAGAATACCCTAATCATGTGGCAGCCTCCGTGCACACCATTACCTGTAATTTTAGACGCCTGCTTGATTTCTTTCACTCTGGAAATATTCCAGTCATTTTTCACAGTATCATGCTTAAAAAATAAAATGCACTGAACCTGTTTCTTTCATAATGACCAGCTTTTTCCCTCTTTAATCTTCTTACAGTTCCCTAAAACATGGTGATTTATCTATGCTGTGTGCAGGACCCAGGTGTGTTGCACATTAGAAACGACTCAGTAAATAAGCCATACAGAGAGAGCTGGGGAAGTGAATTTTAAAAGATCATTAAAACCACTTAACATTCAGATCTTACCATTTCTCCTCTTCCTTAGCATTTGCAAAATTTTGTTTGAGCAGCATTGCTTTATACAGTCAAGAAAAAATATGAATGACATGGAAAAGCATAGGGGTTTATGCAGTATTTAGACAAAATAGTGTCTGATTATTGGCAGGAAGGGTAGGATTGATAGCTTATTGCAAGCTACATGGTTTTCTTGGAGCTGAATTCAGCACACAGTTGATATGTTGGAACCGTGCATATACTTTGGGTTGTTCTGATTTGCTTATAGTCCAAGTATCTTCTTCATGGGTTGTTAAAGATTGGGGCTAGTTTCCAGTTGGGTTTACCATGCAGCACCATGAGACATTTGTTGCAATACAATGGAGGGGTGCAGAGCCAAGCACTCCTGTTACTGTCAGTGTGGCCACCAGGTAAAAGCATGTTTGGAGGAACTAAGGGATGCTCAGATTTCACTGAGCACTTCAATGCTTGATGTACAGTAGATAAAAGTGGCCTATCATTGGTTCATTTATGTAATTAAATGTCATGTTTGGTTCATTCGTGTGTGATCAATGATGACATTAGGAACTGTGCTCCAGCGTAGTATCAGAAACAGATTATTTTCAGTCCTGCCTGGAGGAATGTTAACCCTTACAATCCCAATCTGTGGTTACCCAAGGTAAATAGTGCCCAGCGTTGTGTTACCAAAAAAATAAGCATACCATGCTGCAAAATAATAGCCTGCCTTGCATTCTGCAGTATGACTTAAAGATAAGTAGCTGTGTTAAGAGAAGACTAACACTGCTTCATGCCATTTAAAAAATCAGAGTTACTCCTCTAGTGAATTAGATGTGAATGAAGGCCTTAGGAACGACCAAAGATTTTCCCTGGACTTGTTTAGGACTATGGTACTGGCCTCTGCCCACTTCCATACAACTCTAAAGGGCTAAGTGAGCACAGAGAACCAGCTGAGCCTGAGGAATACAACTTCCCTGGTGAAAACTTGCATGCAGAAAGTAGTGTATCATCAGCATTTGTGAGATTCCCAGGGCTCCTTGCCAACTGAAATGGAGGTGACACTCTTGCTTTGTGTCCAATTTGGGAACTGCTTTTATTGACTGATGCATTTGGTCTTACACTTTTGCTTGTCTCAGATTTTCTTCATAAATCTGGGTTTATTCCTTTGCTTCAATTTATTTGTGTTAATCCTAAAAGTAAATCTGTCTTTGGACCTTTTGGCTTGAATATTTGATCTAATATTTGCATTTGAAAAGAAGAAATCTTTGACATGGTCTTGACCTTAAAGATTTTGAAATTCAGAATCTGCTTAGTAATGCAAAGTCTGATTTCTGCTGCTGGAATAAGAGCAGTGGACTCTTATACCCAGAGAGTAACTTCTGTCAATGTTCTCCTCCTTTCAGAAACAAGCTTTACAAAATATAACTTGTGCAAAATTATCATTGTATATTGTCTGGGATAACTTGGAATTCTGTTCAGTGGAATTGTTTTCTTGAACCCTGGAACAATTAGAAAATAATGATAGAAATGAATGTTTAACGCAAAATTACAATCCCATAAGAATACACTGTGCAGAGCCAGCTATGGGAACGTGTGAAGATGTGCCAAGTAGCATAGGTGGACTCTAGCTGTGGACTCTAGCCTACCAGTGATGCTCAGCACAGTTGTGGAGTCAGGCTGCCAGCTGTGCCCAGGGGTGGGAATAACAGCTCCCCACACGATGTGATGACTGTAGTTTGCCATATGCTATGCGATGCTCCATGACAAACAGCAGCATGACAGGGCACATATATCAGCCAAGCACAGTGCTCCTTAAACTCCATTTGTTATTATTGACCAAAAGTGTGTAATTGTTCCTCTGATGCTGAGGATTGATTTTTGCATGAAATTGGAGTCATTCCTCATTCTGGAAGAAAACGTGACACGTGTGAACTGAGTTTAAAGGCACAGGTCCAGGAGTATGAAGTACTGTTCAATAAGTGTACAGTAGATAGCTCTAAGGGTCTGATGGGACAGAGCACGTGCATCTCTTCCACCCACAGCAGGTAACACCACACTTTGTCATCACTTTCAGCTATTTGAAGGGCTGTGTACAGTACTTAAGGTCTGCACAGTACTTAAGGCAAAAGACTTCTGATTCCAGCTTTGTACAGTTCCCTCTAAGAACACGCAACTCAACCATACAGGAAAATATTATATTAATTGAGAGTATGGGGCTACAGGTGGTACAAAACTTGGGTTGTTTGATGTCCTGAAAGCTTTGTCAAAACTTCAGCAAAGCCAGAATTTTACTCAGTGCTTTAAAGCTTGCTTGAAAAATTCCCTGTGGATTTTTAGTGCCATTCCCATTTATACCAAGAGGTCCTTCAACTCTCTTTTTGATTAAACTTGGAATTTGATGAAATTCTAATTTATTTTTGCTCTGATTTGGGCAGAAAGGGTAATCCCTTGTAACTCATAGCACAATGTGGCATCCTAGTGGGAAAGGCCAGCACAGTGGTCCAGCTGATAGCAGTGAGTAACATTTTATGTCCACAGTAGGGTGAAAGAAAGTGCAGCAAGGGCAAATTTTAGCAAATTGTGTATCAGTGAGTTATTCTGCTTTCAAACTTGGACTTATAACTTATTGTCACGCCGCGAAAGAGGTAAGAAGCTGTGCAGGTAATTAAATATTTGCCTTGGGGGATTATTTGCAGTTAATTAAAGCCACACACTTTCAGTGCATACCTCTTCTACAGATTATTAAATTTGGATCAGATGTTAACAACCCAGCTTTCGCACTTACCCATCAGAGATTATTTTTGGCAAGTTTCAGGAACCAAGTTTTATAGGGGCATCCTTTGGAATATTGTAAGATTTGCTCTGCTGTGTTGTAGAAAGGAACCTTCCAGAAGTAGAGCCGTAACAAGACTGTCATAGGATAATTTATTATCATGCACTGTAGGTCTTTTGGCACTGTTGCTCAGGTTTTCCATCCATCAGCAGTTCAGAAAGTGTTTCACTCTGGAATGAGAATTCTGATTATCTGTTACTGTTGTTACGACCTCAAGTGTACTTGCCCCTGTAGTTTGCAGATATGTCCAGTTAGATCAGAGGTGTTTCTTAATGAGGCTTCAAGAGCTCTTTATCCATGGAAGCTGTGTTACGCAGATGAGCAGAGCTGAAACGGGTGGCTGTGTTGCTGTGATTTCCTGGCTGCGATGGAATGATGCAGTTCTCCATCCCCAACCAGAAACTAAGAAGTGGCTGTTGTGAGAAAATGTTTGACACACAGAATAATGCCCTGTGTTTATGAAGACTGCGGAGAGCATAGTGATCAAACTTAGGTGCCACTGGTTCAGAATCCGGCTTTAGGCAGTTCGTTACGGTGGTCTGCTCCCAAAGGAACAGCAGTCTTGGCCACAATAATGACCTTGAGAGTTCCGTCATCAAGTGAAATGAGGCTAGGATTTGCACTAGGAATTACAGGATTTAATACTTGTCAAGCTTGTGGAAATCCAACCATGAAAAGTGTTGTTCTAAATAAATAAGAAATCACTTTATTTATCAAGTTGATGGTTTATGCTGTTTCTCATAGCGTTGTGTCACTCCATTCATTAGGAATAGAATTCTACATAGCGCTGCCGGTTATTCTTACACATCCTTTTTTGCCAGCTCCTTGTTTAGGATTTGTACTGCAGGCAAAAAACTGCACAGTAAGTGTACAGGCTCTGAAATCAATTTGAATAATTGAAACCCACGAGTATACTTTTGTCATATATAAGACTGAGGTTAAACAGGTAGAAAATCTGTCAGTGTCTCTAGCATGTGAAGCGAACACCTAAGGGCTACCCATGTCTGAAGTAACTACCTGACTTTTCCAGCATGAAAACTGCTGCAGGATTTGTTTGTTTGTTTGCTGTTTCCTCAGACTCCCTCAAAGACTCCAAAGGCACACAGGAGAATGACCCAGCATATCCCATGGGGTGCGATCAAGATGAAGCCAAAGGTAAGGTTTTGTATCAAAATTCTGAAAGATAGAGATAATGAACCAGTTGGGAGCCTTAGTTCTTTCAGTTTCAGCATCCAGGGAGGTTCAACCTGACCACTGCCACATTAAGAAAATGCTAGTTGGCTGCTGGAGGTTGTATGCCAACTAGTTGTGGTGCAGTAATCTCATGTTACTGGAAAAGATGCTCGTCTCCAAATATGTGGGTTTAACCATATTGATCCCGGGTTCATAGCATTGTTATTATTATCCTCCTTTTTGTTGTTCTAAAAGCCTGTGGGGTGATTCTCTTCCTTTTAAACTGACTGCCAAGTGCAAGTGCTTTGCAACAGCTCCTATGAGAAACACAGTGTCAAGGCTGACAGAAGAAGAAAAAAAGTGATGCAAGGGTCAGTTTTGACCAGGCATTTCATACTTAATGCTTGGAGTTTGTTAAGTGATATTTTCACGTATAAACTAAGTTCAACATTGTTGGTTAAATAGAAGAAAAGTGGTATTTGGCTGTGAAGTACTATGCTATATATTAGGTTTGGATCCTGTTTTAAGAAATTTGCCATTGCCTGCATGCAGCCATCATGTTGATGTCATTTTCAATTTGTCGTGTTAACAGGACAACAGGAGGATTTAGCAGAGGAGGAGATGAAAACTGGGGCAGATGCCCAAACCTCCTGCATGGAAATAGAAGGTATTGCATAAGCCTTGAAACCAAAGAGCAAGATTAACAGGCAGAAACAGTAGCTATTGCTTGCGTATTATCAGTAGTGTTTAAGTTATCTTTCTTTCTCCATACCTACGAAGTTAAATCTATGGAGCCAAATCTTCTTATGGTAACTTTAAATTCCACCCTGAGCAGGGGGAGTATCTATGGATTCTCAGTGATGAAAGCTGATGTTTTAGTGACTGTGACTGTTAGGGAAAGAAGTTAACATTGCATTTCTTATTCCTGATGACAAGCACTTCAGCCTTGTACGTTCAGAGCACTGACTGCTCTGTCCCCAGTCCAGCAAAACACTTAAGTACATGTGTGTCTGAGCTTGCAACAAGTCCTGATAAAGGCCTGTGCTTGAAGTAGGGATAGGGGCATTTTGTGCTAAGTCCCAGAAAGCTCAGCATCCTGGAAGATGAAGGCCTTGCTTTCAACTACAGCCCCTGGGATTTCCTGAGACAGCTGTTGCATCTGTACTCTTGGGGAAAAGGATCCTTTTCCTCTGTTAGTGCTTTACTGGTAAGCTCTATGTTAATCCTTTATGTCCTTACGGTTCATCTTCTTTTACCCAACTTATTCAGAGCCATTGTTGAACCAAGAAGAAACAACAGAGGTCGAGATGCCTTTGATTCGTGGTGCAGAGGAAAAAGAAGAAGGAGGAAAAGAAGAAGGAGGAGGTGAGCGTACTTACAAAATAGATGGAGACAGAGAATGCATCTGGGCTCATGTTTTCCTTTTCTATTGTGAGAAACATGGAAAGAGACATAAAAGCATGGCGTTATGGTGTTTTTTTCCTGAGAAAAATCCTTTTTTGCCTATCCTCGAGTATTGTTTTGATATGTTGGGCTTGGATTTACATAGAAAAATAAGTATAAAAAAGTCCCCACTCAGATTCTGAAGTGGCTTTAAAATAAATACTCCCCTCATTGTTGGTTTTCTGCATTAAAGTGCATTAAGCTGATTAAACAACCAATTTATGTCCATTTAAGTACCCTCTTGATCATGTACACAAGGAGCTTTGAGAGTATTTACAATAAATGAGTATGATAATTATTTGCAAGGTCATTAATAGAAATTTAACTGGTAATTAACTAAAATTCTAATAAGGAAACCAGTTTTTGAGCAGGAACACGGAGTCTTGCTGAAGCAGTAATATTTTTCTGGAAGTACTTAAGTCCTTAATGCTTCTGCAAAGAAATCTAGAAGTTTCGTTTTAAGTGAACCCTGCATTAGGTCACCAGTTGAAACAGGCGCCTGGTTACATAAAGAATAACATATTATGTAAGTAATTCTCTATTTGTAAAGTAACTGCAAGTTAATAATTATATGGTCATTTGTAGAGCACAGGGATGTATTTTTCAGTTCCAAATTAAAACACAGACCTGATTTTTATTGAAAATTCAGGTCAATACTAACTGTGCCATCCTAATTATGAACTCCTTTTCCAGCCACATTGACACCAACTTAATTGCAAATCTGTGTTAGCAATATTGACACTTTTCTTCACTGCAAACCCAGGTTAATAGAGCCTCTTTGTTCAGATACAGGTAAACAACATTTCCCCTCCTTTTCTTTGTTAGTTGCCTATCAAAGTTGAGACTAATCACCTCTTTTTATAATCAGTCATGTTAATGGTATCGGGTTTGTGCTTTATTACTGCTGATGAAAGTAGAATTGATACAATCCTTACTTCAAATCCAGGTAAATGATACTGTGCTACCTCGGTTGTGGATCCAGGTTACGTAAACTCACTCGGGTTGCAAATACCAACGTTGTTATGTTAATTTCCTCCTAATGGAAATTATTTACATTTTATTTTATGCCTCGTCAAAAGCCAGTTGGACAAAACGTACTCTCATTATTTGTACATTTCCTTCTCTTTAATACTTTAGTGTCCCCTACAGCTAGTGACTGTCATTTAGTTCTCAGTGGAGAGATTATATTTCACCATCTGCTCTACCTACTATTAAAATATGCAACATTAAGGAAAAGAAGGTAATGTCAGAAAAGGGTTGTTTTTGGCACTTTTCCTGCCCCTCATTTGAAAGGTTCAAGTACTAACTAAAAGGTTCTTCCCAAACATTTTGGAACGTGTTCCTACTGCTCCTATGCAGGATTCATCTGATCCAAAGCTTGTTGAAGTTCATAGAAGAACTCTCATTGGTTTAAGTGAGCTCTCAGTCAGTTCCATGATAAGAGATGATGTGTTGAGTGTACATGCAGGTTACTTAGGTAACTGTATAGATATTCTGTTTAGCTTCTTCTGAGCATACTGTCTTTGTGGCAGGGGAAAAAGGTTCGTTTTCAGGGTTTTGAAAGGAAGGAAAGTAAGGCCTTGCCTTGCTTTGTCCCATTCTTACAGGTATAAGAATATGCAGAGCACACTCAGCACCCATCTCGCTAGATGTTTCTAATTCTGGGGGGCACACAGAACTGTGCCACATGAGTCTGTGTGTGCCACAGAGCAAGGTGGATCTTGACAAAGGGAAGTAAAAAAAAGAATATCAGCTGCAGTTCAGGCTGATAAAACAAGATATATTCCTCAAGGAGAGACTCCTATTAATGGAAAGAGATTGCCAGGCATAAGCTAGAGATATGTAACATTATTTTATGTAACCCAAGTGCTACCTCATAAACTAATACAGTTAAATAGTTTTCCAGCAGAGTCCATGGTATATTTGACATATGATAAAACGGCATATTTTTGTCTGAGAACACATGGGAAAAAAGCTAACATGGGACTGCTAGTCCCATTAAATAGAAATATGTGGATCTTAGGTGGTTTTAACCTGTACTAGATCTATATGCATAGCCAAACATAACAGCTACTAAACTGCAGACTACCTGGTCTTTCTGTTCTACCTTTTTTGTGTTACCAAGCTCAGCCTGGAGCAAAGGGTAGCACATTGCTGCTTCTGTCCTCTCTTTCTCTTGCCTTGAACCATCAGGGAGTCATCTGTGACCTGTGCTGTCCCCAGCACTGGAGCTGTGGAAACCACTAAATGACCAAAAAAGATCAAAGTCCCTTTTCCAACCGAAAGCTAGATTTCTGCTCTGTTACTGATAGTGGCTTTGAAATGTGTTAGGAATTTTTTCAGTGATCTCATTTTCCATGGAAAAAAAATGACTGTTTCTTGCTGGTTTCAAGATGTGTCTCAGATTTTGCAAACTTCTGACAAACCACAGGTAAACTTCTGATGTAACTGTGCAAGTTTTACTGCCAGCTCATCTATGTGTTTGGGGGGATTTTAGAGGGTCCTTTCTGTATAGCTCATTTGGCTTCACAGCTCTAGGGTCACTCCATAGTGCATTATTACCAAGGAGTCATGGATCCTAGTGCTTTCGAGGTTCTGGGACACCGGGAGCCCAGAGGAATGAAGAGTCAAAGACTTGGCAGTCTCACTACTGTTTCCCATTGCCAGCATCAAGAAACAAACCAGATTACCCTGAAGAATTTAACAATGTAAGGCACTGTGTGTGTTTCATGAAAACCTGCCTTTGCTTTTTCTAAACTCAGTAATAAAATACAACATGTGCCAATTTATTCCCTTTTTTTCCCTACTGTAACTTAAGGTTATGTATTACTAGGGAGCAATTGAAGAAAAAAGACAAAATAAGATGACTTTTTCATTTTTTTTTCCAGCCGCCATAACACACTCATTCTGGTTCACAAAAGAATAATGAAAATCTGTGTTTCTTATAAGATTAGGGAATATTCTCAAATCCCTTTATTAAAAAGCAGAGTAAATGGTGATCACTGACCTATTTGCTGACTAGGTAAGTATACATGGTTTTAATAGACCATTTGGCACCCCCTTTATATGTATGCTTGGAAGTAGTCCTGTCATGTTGTAATGACCATACATTCAGCATTTAATTGTAGTTTTAATCATCCCAGTTTTTCCACAACACAATTTGCAGCACATGGAAATACAGCTCATGTTTGTTTGTGTGAATATGTATCCAGTTCCTTCTCTGAGCCTGCTCTCCCCTCTGTCTTCCTATTTCCCACTTCCTTCCATCTCCCTTCATCAGGGGATCATCATTCAGCTATGATGATTTACCTCACTAAGCATCTCTGGAAGCTTCTTACCTCTTTGAAGGACAGTATTTCTGCCAGAGCACTGCAGAAATAGCCAGTAATTCTCTGTTGGATCTCTTTTGTATTCAGGGTAAAATATTTTGTGCTGTTTGGACCATGACTCAAGCTTGACCTGTCATGTTTCTTCCCCCAAGAAACACATCTAGAGTATTTGGATAGCATCCTCCCTGGGCAAAGGACACATTTATTTTCCACTGGACAAGTTTAGAAATGCAGAAGCAGGCTGTTGCTGAAGGCCAATCATTGAGCACAATGCCATAATTAATGACTAAAAAAAGGATATTGAAATCTCCTGGGATTTCACTTAAGAGCAGGACACAGCCCTTACAATCAGTATTACTGTGCAGTTGCATCTTAACCTGTTTGAATGCCATGTTGAGGGAACTGTATGAACCATCTTTTTCTCTCTATGAACCATACAATGTTAAGACAGCCTTGGGAACAGGCTGGAGGAGGTGACACAGTTTAAATCATTTGCAGTATACATGATTTACTTTGCTGGTCTTCTGGTCAGTGCCTCCTTACTGTAAATTTGAATTCCACATGATTTCTGTTCAAGCTAAGCCAAGTTTTGTTCATCTTTGTTATATAAATAGCTGTAAGTAGTAGCCATCATTTCATCCATTCTTCACTTCAACAGCTGGATTTTCAAGTCATTTACCCACCTGTACTTTAGTGAGAGAGAGAATTTTATGGCATAATCTTGGAGGGAATGAAATATTCCAAAACCTGCAGGAAAAGAGCTCTCAATTTTTTATAGTTTCAGTCTCAGGCATTTATAGGCTTTTACATGCATTGGTACAGTCATAAATAATGTCAAAATAATGTCTTGGTTTGAAGTGACATTGTGGCTGTAGAGAAACAAAGTACTTCTCGAGAAAGATCTTTTCGGACAAATCTGACATCTTTATTCTTGAGTCATGGTAATTGTAACTACCTCTTATTTCTTAATCAAACTTCTTTCAGCTTCAAGTGGAGATGGATGAGACATCTTGGGGGGAAAAAAAAAGTTATATAAAAGGTCTTCCTTGCATGTCTTTAAAAGGGTATTTTCTTTACTGGAAAGAAAAGAATACAGAGATATTTTTGAGTGTTGTGGCTTCTAAAGATCTAATATAAAGGCTTCAACTTCTTTTATTCAATTGCCCAAGGAAGAAAGGATTAAATATCCCAAATTAGATACAGTTTGTTTGGTCTTTGATAACAACCTATACTGAATGGATCAGATGCTATTTTGGGGGCTGTTACAGGATAGTCTGGCCCTAAATATGAAATATATCTTTAATATCTGCTTCTGACTGGTATTGATATTTAGCAAAGAAAAAAACACACCTTTGGACCTTGTGCAGAAATACTGGAAGTGATTTAGAGCCGCAAAATTGCAAATGAGTATTTCAACTTGTGTGTCTAAAGCCTTAATCTATGCAGAGAGGTGGACTGTTGCAAAGCAATTAGCTGGAAGTAGCTGCAGGTACACAGTTATCAATGGAAAGCCAAACAAGTGCCTTTATCCAGGGGATAACTTCAGGTTTTAAGAAGCCTCACTTTACATGCCTTTATTTTGTTGAGAACTTC